TCAATTAAAAAAAAAAAAAAAAAAAAAAATGAGCTCAGGGAAACGGAAGGGGCAAAACCAAACTTCTGGACCGTGCATTTTTAGAGCTTGCTTCTCCTTTGCCTAAAAACACACACAAAAAGTTTTAAAACATGGGGCATTTATGATGTTCCAGGCACTATCCTAACATTTTGCACACATCATAAAATGTAATCCTCACCCCAGGCCATGAGGTGCTGTTTTCAGCTCCAGTTTACAACCAGGGGACCGAGGAGCAGGGAGATGTTGTGACTGATGTGCTCCTGGCTCCCTGGGAGGAGATATGATTCCAGAGCCTGTGTCATGGGACTTCACAAAGCTCATCCACTCACATCCCTAACTTGGGAATAACCTTTCCAAATTTGCTTCCAGCTGCTGTCACGTTTGCCTGGTACACACAGTCCCTAAATTCCACTCACCCTTCCTCCCTGCAGACCCGATGAAAAGCAGAGGTCCCACAACCACAGGCCTAAAGCTTCCATCAGAATTTTCTTTAAGTAGCTGGTTGGAGTCCTCTGCCCTCTCTCCTACCCTCTCTCCCTCCCACTCATGCCTCTCCATTGACTCTCTCTTGCGTGTCTCAATTTCTGCTGTCTCTTTCTTTGTCTCTGCTTTTGTTTCCTCTTTGGTCTCCATGCCTTTATTTCTCACTGCGAAGCTCTCTCTTTAGGACTGTCTTCTTCCCTTTCCACCTTAAAGGCCTAGAGGGAGAAAGTAGGAGTGTGTGTGTGTATGTGTGTGACAGAGAGAGAGGGAGAGGACAAATAGAGGTGATATACCTTCTGACACCACCCCACCCCCAGTATTCGCCTAGCCAGTCATTTGCTGCCAGCATCAGCAAACAGCACTAAAAAAAGAATAAGGTCACCTTTGAAAGACCCTGGGAGAATGTGAGCACAGTCAAACTGGGAAGGCACTTAACTATTCTGGGCTATCAGGACACACTGCTTACCCAGCTCCCACCCAAGCTGCTGTCAGCTGCCCCATTGCTGATATCTCTGTCATACAATTCCCCAGATGGATCCCTGCAGAGACCCGTCCAGTCAGGGGTCCCCACCCTCGTGGTGGGCTCCCTCAGACGCAGCCCCACCATGGTCGTCCGGCCTCAGCAGTTCCAATTCTACCAGCCACAGGGGGCCCCCTCCTCAGCCTCGGCGGTGGTGGCGGAGATGGGACCCAAGCCCACTGCCACTGGGGAGCCTGCCCTCACATGCGTCAGCAGGGGCAGCGACACCAGGATCCACTCGGCGGCCAGTTCCCTCATCATGGAAGGCAAAGAAATCCCCGTCAGGAGTGAGCCTCTACCAAAACTGCCTGCATCTGCCCCGCCATCCATCCTGGTGAAACCAGAGAACTCAAGAAATGGCAGCGAAAAGGTAGGAGTAGGTGACATTGGGGGGGGCTGATTCTTTAGACCCCTAACTTTGCACAGTGTCCCAGCTCCTGAGATTTCACCATAAATGGACAAGGAATCAAAACTGCAGCCTCCAGGGGCTTCCCTGGTGGTGCAGTGGTTGAGAGTCCGCCTGCCGATGCAGGGGACACGGGTTCATGCCCCGGTCCAGGAGGATCCCACATGCTGCGGAGCGGCTGGGCCCATGAGCCATGGCTGCTGAGCCTGCGCGTCCGGAGCCTATGCTCCGCAACGGGAGAGGCCACAACAGTGAGAGGCCCGCGTACCGCAAAAAAAAACAAAAACAAACAAACAAAAAAACTGCAGCCTCCAAAGAATCCTCACACACAACCCCCCTTCCATATCCTCACATCACCCGCACCCTCCCCAGACATGTTACTGAATCTCCTTTATGCTTCCAGAAGATTTTATACATCTTTCTTTCGAGGCCCAGAGGCAACTTGGAAAAAACACGGCTTTGGCATCAGACACAATCTTGATTTGAATTCCAGCTGTGCTGCTTGCTAGCTGGTGACTCTGGTTAAAACACTTCACCTTTCTGAGTCTCTTTTGCCTAATCTGTAAAATGGCGGTAAGAAGAGTAATAGCCTCATAGGATTGGAGTTAAATGAGTAAAGTACTTACATAGGGCTTGATACGTACTCGTTCACAGTATACAAGAGGCAACTGAGGCACAGGAGAAGGTAAGTGACTTAGTAAGGTCACACTGAGTTATAACTACTCCAACAACTGTTATCGGGACCTTTGCGGTTATCGGTTATCGGTTCTAGGGCTTTTCCCACTAGAAGTCGTAAGAGCTTTTGTAAAAAGTGTTATGTTCTCAACAATATCCTTGAGGCAGGGATGGAGGAGGTGACGTGAAGAAAATTAGGTGACTGTTATCTTTTAGTGTATTGAACATCACACCACCACCCTTACTATCACTATCACCACCACCATCACCACCAACATCACCATCACTACCATCACCCATTTCCCTCCAAATGGAAAGATGGTGTGGTTTCCTCCTCTCTGTTAAGCATTTACTGAATGCTAACGACCTAGCAGGCACTGTGCTGAGTACTTCACATGTCCTATCTCATTTAATTCTGACAACAACCTTCTGATGTAGCTATAATTATTATTGTCATCCTCATTTAAAAATGAGGACATGAGGCTTATGGAGTTAAAGTACATTACCCAAAAGCACACAGCTGACACACATGAGTGTCTGGAGTAGAATCGAGATCTGACACAAAAGCTCATGCTCTTAATGTTAAGCTGTAAGCTTGCAGGGAAAGGCATTTGGAAAAAGTTAGTGTTAACTGATTTAAATGTTGAGAGTTCTTATTCTGAATTACGGTATTCAAATAATTCAAAGTTTTCCAGACCCCACTTGTCAGTTACCCCCAAGCCATTAGATGCAGCCCTCAAACTGTGTTTAGTAAGTGCCCAGACCTCTGCTGGACATGGTAAGGGTCAAAAGTATGAAGACATTTGGTCTCCCACTCACCTTTCAATCCCAAGACATTGGGATTGAATTTCATAGGGAAAAAAAAAAAAAAAAAGATTTCTGAGCAGTAGCACAGAACACTTTATTAAGCTGTAAGATGGGGAATGGCCAAAGTAAAACCTAATATATAAGATCTATAACAGGCTAGGAAAGAAGGGAGAGAGAAAGGGCTTATGCAAACATCAGATCATTGACTCCCACATAAAGCAGGGCCTGCTAATCAGCTCCAGCCAATTGCTGCCAGAATGGGGCACAGGCCCCAGTGTGCCTGCACTTTGATTATCTTAAGGGACATATAAAATGCTGACTTTTATATGCATCTCCCAATTTTTATGTGTTAGCAACTAAATCAAACTCCCAGACTTTCTGCAGACTATATTCAGTCAGCAGTGTCCAGTTGGCTTACTCTGCTCTGAGGGTTTATGAAGGAGTTGTCTGGATGGAGTCAGCAGGGAGGCCTTACTGGCAGGTGGAAAGGAGAGAGGGGAGGTAAAGGACCCTATTCTCAGGTAGGTGGTTGTCCCCCCTATTTCTCGTAGCTAATTCCCAGTCGTTCTTCAGTTCTCGACTGAAATAACTCTGCCTCTAAGAGGCCTTCTCGGACAAGGCCCATTCCAGCTTCAGTTGGATACTCCTCTGCATTCCTCAGCATCTTCTGCTTCCCCCGCGGTGGCACTGGTTATCATTGTCATTTGTCAGGGCGGTTTTGTTCATTCTTGGCTTCACAGCACCTGACAGAGTGGTGATGCATGGTCAACACTCATGACAGACACAAGTATTTGCTGGATGAACACGTGAATGAGGCATTCCAGGAAGGGACAAGTGTAGAGAAACAGCATGAACCAAGTCCCAGGGGGAAATAGCACAGGTCTCCCACTCACCTGTGTCCCTTTGCTCTCCTCTGTCTTACAGCAAGTCAAAACCGTGAGATTTCAGAATTACAGCCCTCCTCCTGCCAAACATCACACCTCTGGGAAGCCTGAACAACCAGGCACCCCGAAGGGGTCCCAGCCTGAAGCAGCCCCCTTGGGCCCAGAGATGACCGTCCTATTCGCCCACCGAAGCGGCTGCCATTCTGGACAGCAGACAGACCTCCGGAGGAAGTCAACCTTTAGCAAAATCATGACCCCAGCGCCCACTGCCTCGACCACGCAGACCATGTTTCCCAGCAAATGAATCTACAGGTGGCTTTTCCTAGACCCCAAAGAGGTGAATTGCATTTAAATACAGTATGCCTCCACTGAGGGCGTCCTGCCATTCTTTGGGGACTCGAGCATGGGTCCTTGTTCTGCCCATTTTACCTCCAGGAAAGGACAGGTGGGAGTGGGGATTCCTGCCCTGGCTAGGAAAATAGACCAGGTGACCTTCCAAACATAATGATTCAATGTAGCAAGGCCACTACCCAGACCAAGGAATGGGAGCTCATCCTGCCCACTCTGTTCCCCAGCGTGGAGTGTGCAGCCTCTCATCCTCTGGGTTCTGTGTAGAATTTCTATGATGTTATAAAAGGGGCTTCAGCCACGGGGGTCACCATGGTGGAATGCTGGCATTAGTTCTTTGACCTCAACATCTTAGAACAGCTTCTGCCATCTTCTGGGACCTAGACACCAGCCACTAGTAGCCACCATATCTTTGTCCCTCCATCAAGTCATAATCCTGGCTGCCAAGGGAGAATTTCTGGGAAGGGTGTGAGACGGATACTTTGAACATTCCCGAACCCTTTAAACCAAAGAGAGTCAGCTTCCTGGCTTTGCTCCAAACAAGGTCGGAGAGAAAGCTGACTACTGTCATGCTTTAAGCTTCTCAATCTGTTTGCCCACATATGATCCTACACGATAGATAAGCAGGAATCACGTACTTGTGGAGAGGGTCTTGTATGGTGTTACGGACAATTCATCCATCCTGGCTCTAGTCTGACTTCCCCAAGAAAACAAAGCATGCTTAGAAACAGCTTGGTAAGGGGTTTGAGTCTAGTTATACATTCTGTTTGCATTGCAACAGCCTTTACTTTCACTGATTTCTTCTATTTGGGGCAGACTAGCTGTTTCACCAGGGTGCAGAATAAGGCAACAATGTCATTGAGAAGATGCCAATCCACGGCTGGGTTGGGGGTGCCTTCTAGAGGAAAGTTTCTATAAAAAGGGACTGGACAAATCAGGTTGGAGAGGAAAAGTGGGTAAGAAGGAGGAGAAAGGGAGAGTGAAGAAAATACGGAGGAGAGAGTGGGGAGGTGATGAGAGTGAGAAAAAGAGGATTAGGGGAAGTGTCAGGGAAGAAGATAAAAAGGTAGGAGAGCAGCCTTGACATTCTTGACAGGTGGGGAAAGAAGGATGGAGTCTGCAAAAGTAGGTGACCCCACTAAGATGGGGCTGAAGTGAGTGGGACCAGCCAGGCAAAGCCTTGTAAACGGGGGTAAAAGAACACCCCAGGGAGTGGAGGCAATGCTGTAAGACAAATCATTAATTCTCATTTAACTTAATTGTTGTGATTTAACATGTATTGCATGCCCATCAATGTGGGCACTTTAGTGCATAAATGCCATTTGCTACTAAGCCTGGATGCCATTTAAAAAAAAAAAGGCTGGGCTTCCCTGGTGGCGCAGTGGTTGAGAGTCCGCCTGCCGATGCGGGGGACACGGGTTCATCATGCCCCAGTCCGGGAGGATCCCACATGCCACGGAGCGGCTGGGCCCGCGAGCCATGGCCGCTGAGCCTGCGCGTCCGGAGCCTGTGCTCCGCAGCGGGAGAGGCCACAACAGTGAGAGGCCCGCGTACCGCAAAAAAAA